CTCTTCAGCCCGGGCACCTACGAGCGCCTGGCGCTGCTGCTCGGCTCCATCGGGCTGCTGGGCGTCGGCAACAACCTGCTGGTGCTGGTCCTCTACTACAAGTTCCCGCGGCTCCGCACGCCCACCCACCTCCTTCTGGCCAACATCAGCCTCAGCGACCTGCTGGTGTCCCTCTTCGGGGTCACCTTTACCTTCGTGTCCTGCCTGAGGAACGGCTGGGTGTGGGACACCGTGGGCTGCGTGTGGGACGGGTTTAGCAGCAGCCTCTTTGGTGAGTTGGGCCGGGAGGAGGAAGCATCCTCCCCTCCTCTGCAAACTTCCCGCCGCCTGCCTGGCCACCCTCTCTGTGCGCCCACCTGCCGCCCAGCCCGCCCTCCGCTCGTTCCCGCCCGGCCCCCGCGCTCCCACGCCCCTGCGCCCCTGTCCCTGTCCCCCGCCGCCCCGCACTGCCTCGTCTGCCCTGGGCCCCTCCCGCTCCTCGACCCCCGGCTGCATGCGCGCCGCCCTCCCTGCTTCCCTCGTCTCCCACGCCACGCTGGCCACGACTCCATTCCAGCGGGCCCTCCTCTCCCCCTCCGCTGTCCCCAAGCCCCAGCCGGTCTTCAGCCCCCCCCCCCTTCATCTTGTTCTGTTTTCACCTCCCAAAGTGATTCAACAGGGCACGACACAGCGGCTTTGACACTTTGAGGGAAGAGAAGAGGGCCTGTAGAGTCCAGAGATTCCATTTAAAAAGTGGTTATTAACTCGTGAAAGTTAGAGGGGGCCATTTGGTTCATATACAACTGTTTGTTTCCTAAAATGGGAGTAGAAACCTAAAATAGCAGTGTGTACTTTTTTTTCCTCATTAGGTACTTGTAAACCTTTGAATGCTTTCTAGGGAGCGAGATAGTTTCATTCAGGTCCTCATTATGTAAATGAGTTGTGCCCCATAAGCTATTTTTGCTGTATTTCCTCCTTAGCGACGGGTTCCATCACATCAAAATATCAGGTGAGATTACAAATGGCTCAGATAATCCTATCTCAGGTAAACAAATACCGTAATTGGCTGTGCTAGTAGATTTCATTAAAGTAGAACTTGATTGTTAGTTGAGGATTTATTTCTACATTGCTCTTAATCATTATGGAAGATTTAGTCTCACTGAGGCTTGACACTTTAAAGATGATCAACAACCCAGCATATCACTGAAGATGTGATTTTTTCTAAGCTTGGGAGAAAAATTATTTCTGTGTGCTCCAGGAATTTCATGTATACAAAGATTTAAAATAGAAACATGTATTTATCAGCTCTTAACGTTCCTTTTTTTAAATCCTGAAATCATTGATATTTTATTATTGCTTTTATCATGGTAGGGTTTGGAGAACAAAATCTTTGTATCATCAAAAATATTTTCTTAGTTCAGCAACCTCCTATGGTATGACAGACCCAAATATTATGGTATTTGTAATGATTCGTTTTTTTTTTTTTATGAAAGTAATAAGAAAATGTCATAGAAATTATTTCATTTATTTGTCTCAGTGATTATAATGCCCTCTTCGAAAAGCATTAATCTCAGAGTTTCATTTGTACAAAGACTTGAAACTTGGGGAGGTCACTGTAAGTATATGGAAGTGGTGATGTAGATGACTATGGGATTACATTCTGTATTAATGTAAAATACCTTTCAAGCAATTTCTTAGGCAGGGCTTAGCTTGAAATTAAGTAGGTGATTTAAGCCCAACCTGAAGAATATCCAGTAATGTTCCCTAGGGTGGTCAACAGGTGTTTGTTCACAGATAGGAAAATTCTTATTTCCTTGCGGTGCCTTTTCTGTGCTGGGAAATTCTGTTTCTGTACCTGGGAAGTTTGAATATGAGAGTGTATTGAGCTCTTCACAAGTGCTGGCATCTACCCTCTCCCTCACTTCTCTCTGCACACCTCACCCTCCTGTGACTCCTAGATTCTTCCTTTTTTTCTTCCTCACCGTCCCTCCTAGGATTAATCAGAAGTGATTTTCTGAATTCATCATATGGTATTTTACCTGAGGGCTGCTCTGGGCATTTAGTGCTTTAAACCATGACTTTATCCCTGTTTTTAAATTAGAGGTAGACACTTAGAGACTTGTTTAAGCCCTTGGGCTACTATGGAACTTAAAAAGTTCTTAGCAAAGATAAACAATGTATTTGCCTGGTGTAAATTCCAAGTGTGTGCTTCTTGATTAGGGTTAAAGATGAAGAAAGGGAGGAAGCTTTCCCCTGCTGTCCTTGAGCTCTTGCTACTACCGTGGAGTATTGGACCGGGAGGAAATTAAAAAAAAAAAAGCCAGGAAGTAGTTTTAGAGAGGTTGCTCTATGTAGTGGAAAGAACATTGGCCTTATGGCATGAGAGTAGGTCCTGCTCTTGACCCGGTGTCCGGTGCATTCGGAGGGCTTTCCCAAGTTGCTTATTCTCTGCGGCATTAGTTCTCTCATCTTTGTTACTGGGTAGTTGAGCTTAAGGTTCTTTAAGGTCACACCACTTGCTTTGTATTTTGATGATGCCTGCAGGTTAAAGGTGTCTGGTCTCAGTGCTTATGGCCTGTGTCCTCTGCTTTTACACTCTCAGCTCTGTCCCCTTCTAAGCCAAATATGTATATTCTCTGGTTACACCTCTTCAGATACCGTCATAGGTTCTGTCTCCCTCTTCACACCCTGCTGGAAGAAGGCAGAATAAGTAATTCAGACCCACTTATTTAGACACATGAGTAGGCCAGGCAACTGCTTCATTCTGGGCTCGGTTCCTAGCTTCTCAGGGAATGCTGAAAATGAGTGGACTCCCTGATATTCTTGAGACTTTGATTAGACAGTTCTATTAGAATTACCAGTTCAATTAAACTGACCAGTCAGGTTAGTGACCTATGCAGTTTAATCTAAGTTCTGATTGAATGGCTTGTTTTGCCACTATCCAAGATAATTAGTCTCTTGGCATAGGCAAGTGCAGCTTGGAATGATCGGGATTTCAGTAGGTTTGACAGTAGTGAAAATCAAAGCTCAGAGACCTCACGCACTTAATGTGCAATGACGAATGATAAGAAAGCTTAACGGTATGTGGAGGACTTTAACCTGAAGACTTCTAAGTGAGAATGCCTTTCAGTTTCTTGGCTGTGCCACCTCTAGCCACATCTAGCATTACACAGGAGAGCCGTTCTTCACTGTCCCATCAAAAATAAGAACAATAAAGCATCTGCTAGTCTTGACAGAGAATGTTTAGACAAACCTTTTTCTTGGGATTTAGATATTCAAGGTTACAGAGCTAGTCTGGCAAATACAAACATTATTCTACTCAGATGTTAGAAGTAGGTGTTATTTATGTTAAGATACTTTAACATGTAACATGGAATTTTCCTTTTTGGCTTACACTTATGAAGCATGTGTGCATATGTATGTTTATGTAAAGATTTGTTGTGAATAAGGTTTGACTCTCAGTTGGCCTATTCTTTTATGTACATATTTTTAAATGTCAGTTGTTTTCCTGGATTAATCCTTTTGTAATAATCGGACTGAAAATTCAGTACAATTAGTCTCATGTTGCTACCACAAGATCCTAAAGGTGGTTGGGGCATGGAAAGGTATTCCATTTGGCTGTTCCGGAACCATTCACAGACTGCACTGACTGCAGAAATATCCCTAATCATGGCAGTATGCATGTAGTGTATAAACTGTTTTCAAAAACATAGTGGAGCCACACATTTCTTTTAGTCTAAGTTCACAGCTGTGTATAGTTTTATCCAAATGCTAGGTTTTTTTTTTAAAAGAAAAAGTCGTAGAATTATGTTAATTCTTTTTTATGGGAGATTATTATGGTCATCCATTATGCATTATTGTATTGCCTGATTTGGGGGGGAGGGTCTGTCTTTATTTTTTATTTTCAGGTAATTAGAAAATATGTGAGAAAGCACATATTGATTTAGTAACTTATATCCAAATTACAAGTCGGGGTCCAATGGATTGTAATTGCTGTTGCATGAAATTACTTTCATATTGTTTACAATTGTATTCTTTCTTGAATTTTCTTCTTTCAGAGAAGAGTTCCAGTCACAAATGCATATGTGATGCATTTTGACATTTACTGCTAAGATGAAATGCAGAAATGAAACCACACATCCGTTTTAGTATTCTCAGGTGTGATTAGATGTACTTTCTCATGTTTTTATGCTACTGACTTACAAGAAAACAATTAATAAAGGGTAGCAGTTAACACCTAGGATCTGCCACCTCAGTGCTTCTGGGATGAACTGGAACATCACAAGGAGAGGTTTTATTACAGCATAATCACACCTCAACTGAGTCCTTGACGTATGTTCATACGCAGTTCCTTCATCAGCAGTTGTCACCAGACGCTTTACTTCCTAGGATGGCGGAGAGTCTCCCCACAGAGTTTGATGTAGTTATAATAGGAACAGGTTTGCCTGAATCCATCCTTGCGGCTGCATGTTCAAGAACTGGTCAGAGGGTTCTGCATATTGATTCAAGAAGTTACTATGGAGGAAACTGGGCTAGTTTTAGCTTTTCAGGATTGCTATCCTGGGTGAAGGAGTATCAGCAAGACAGTGACATTGAGGAAGAAAGTACTGTTTCAAGGCAAGGCCTGATCCCTGAGACAGAAGAAGCCATCGCTCTTCGCAAGAAGGATGAAACCATTCAACACATAGAAGTTTTTTGTTATGCCAGTCAGGATCAGGATACAGAGGACAATGTTGAAGAGATTGGTGCACTGCAGAGAAATCCTTCCTCAGTGGCATCTACTACCATTACTGAACTGGATTCTGCATGTTTGCCTGAAGAAAGGCAGTCATATTTTACTGACTATGAAATGCCTGCTAACCACACTCAGAAAAGTGATAAGGAGATTTCACTAGGCATAACTGATGTAGAGGAATCACTGGAGAAAGAAAAGGATTGTGGAGATAACACTTGTATACACACAATTTTGGGTGGACATAAAGATGAAGACAAACATACAGTAGAAGACAACACTGGTCAAGCAAAAAAAAATAGGATTACTTTCTCTCATATAGTTAAAGAAGGCAGGAGGTTTAATATTGATTTGGTATCAAAGCTGCTGTATTCTCAAGGCTTGCTAATTGATCTTTTAATCAAATCAAATGTTAGTCGTTATGCAGAATTTAAAAATGTCACTAGGATTCTTGCATTTAGGGAAGGAAAGGTAGAACAGGTGCCTTGTTCCAGAGCAGATGTCTTTAATAGCAAAGAACTCACTATGGTTGAAAAGAGGATGCTAATGAAATTTCTCACATTTTGTTTAGACTATGAACAACACCCTGATGAATACCAAGGTTTCAGGCAGTGTTCATTTTCAGAGTACTTAAAAACTAAAAAATTAACTCCCAACCTCCAGCATTTTATACTGCACTCAATTGCAATGACAGAATCATCTTGCACTATAATTGATGGCCTTAAAGCAACAAAAAAATTCCTTCAGTGTCTTGGACGTTTTGGCAACACGCCCTTTTTATTTCCTGTGTATGGCCAAGGAGAAATTCCCCAGTGTTTCTGCAGGATGTGTGCAGTTTTTGGTGGAATCTATTGTCTTCGCCATAAAATACAGTGCTTTGTAGTTGACAAAGAATCTGGAAGATGTAAAGCAATTATAGATCACTTTGGTCAGAGAATAAATGCTAAGTATTTTATTGTGGAAGATAGTTACCTTTCTGAGGAAACATGCTCAAATGTGCATTATAAGCAGATCTCTAGGGCAGTGCTCATTACAGATCAGTCTGTACTGAAGGCAGATTCAGATCAGCAGATTTCCATCTTGCTGGTGCCTCCAGCAGAACCAGGAGCTTGTGCTGTTCGGGTCACAGAATTATGTTCTTCAACCATGACATGCATGAAAGACACTTACCTGGTACATCTGACCTGCTCATCTTCTAAAACAGCAAGAGAGGACTTAGAATCAGTGGTGAATAAATTATTCACCCCATATGCTGAAACAGAAACCAACAAGGAAGAACCTACAAAGCCAAGACTCTTATGGGCTCTTTATTTTAATATGAGAGATTCGTCGGGAATCAGCAGAAGCTCATATAATGGTTTACCTTCCAACGTTTATGTCTGCTCTGGACCTGACGGTGGACTGGGAAATGAGCATGCGGTCAAGCAAGCTGAAACACTTTTCCAGGAGATCTTTCCAAGTGAAGAATTCTGCCCCCCACCTCCAAATCCAGAAGACATTATCTTTGATGGTGATGATAAGCAACCAGAGGTTCCTGGAACTAATAATATCATAATGGCCACAATAGACTCCTCTGAGGAAAGTAAAAACCTGGAAAGCCCAGAGAAGCACCTTCCACATTAGAAAAGAGCAAACTGGAAATGTTACTTTGGGCCTTCTTCCTGGCATCAGAATATTCTCATTTGAAGGACGGTTTTCCATATGAGTAACTAGAAGTGGTTATATGATGAATGCTATGCAGATTTGCCTTTAACTCTCTTTGAGACATTCAGCATTTGAATGTCTTTGTTAACCTATAGGTAACTTATGTATTGGTTATTGGACTTTTTGTTTCAGAATGGGCTTCATGATCCAGAATCTTAAAGCAGAGTTAACTTTATTTTAGTATTGGGTATGCGTGTGAGGGTTCCATATTAGAAACTCAGCTGAAAGGAAGGTAATGTTGTATTTGCTAATGATCTTCAGATTTTATCAAAGGAATATTTTAATTGCTTTTGCAGCTGTTATAGTTCCTACTACCTGTTTGAATTCTGAAACACACACATATAAATTATGTGGGTGTTTTGTATATAACAAAAACATGTAGACTTATGGCCAGAATAGCAACTAATGCAAGATCAAATAGATTTGTTTATAACTGTTAAATGATTATCTTTGCATGATCCTTTATTTTTTGAAGGTCTGATGTTTATAGTACATTCTGCAGAATAATTAATCTACTTGCCCCTTTTAACTATTGAGGCAGTGACACCATTATAATCTTTTACTTTACAAAAAAAATTAGAGTTCAATTAGTAGAGAGCTCATTTTAAAGAGATTTGTTTCAAAGACTATTTAGGGGATAAGTTTTGTTGTTCTGGTTTAATACTTGAGAAAATTTCTGCAGACCCTCCTCTGGCACCTAAAAGAAAATAACTTACAATGAGGAAAAATAAAGTGCCACTGGAAAAGATACTTCTGTCCTGAAATTCCTAAGGAGAAACTGAGTGAGGCATTTTTAACCTGGGATTACAGATGGTTTTCAAATCCTCTGTAGATTACCCAAGGTTTCTCAGTGAAGATGAAATGTTCCTCGTTGTTGGCTCTACCACTTTAATTAGCAACAGTAACCACAACTGATAGGAGTGAATCAGAGGAAGATTTACCATGCCCCTTCAGTTGTGTCCCACCCCTCAAATAGTGAGGCAACAACCTTCATAATCACTTCTGCCTATTGGATCTTATCTAGATCATAGAAATGTTTCTTCTCCCAGAACCACTAGAAGGCGTAAAATTGTTTGAACTCTAGTGTTGAAAACCTGGGAGCTGTCAGAAGAGATGAGTGTCCTTCTCTGCTAGCCGGTTTCCAATCCACAGGCAGAGGATGATGATACCATAGGAAGCAGGCCCCTTTCCTGACAATTTTTGCTTTGAAACAGAGCATTGTGCTTTCTCACTGCAGTTTTACAACAACCGTGTGAGGCAGATATTGCATACAGTTTCAAAGAGGAAATAAAAACTGACTTGTAATTTGCTCAGTCTGGTATTTGGAAGAGCCAGCATTGAAACCCAAGCTTTCATGATTCTATAACCTTTGATCTTTCTACTAATGTTCACTGTTAGAAGAGTGTAGACACTGTAGGAGAAGCAAAAGGTGCCCATGAAAGTCAGTTTAGTATTGCTGGGGAAGAAAAGCAGACAGACACTGGTCTTATAGCTTATTTTTGAATCTGAGAAATGTGAAGATTAAGATTGATTAAAAATAGATGTATTTTAGAGCATTAATCTCATTGAAGCGGAATTTGGCTAAGCTTTCACAAAGTAATGCTCATCAGTAACCTATCTTTTGATCTGAAGATTATGTTATAAAAATACGGATGTTAGTAGGTCAAAATGTGTTCTGAATACAGTCTTTGTTCCTCTTCTATATGTGAGAAAAATGAGACAGATTTAAGTGATTGATAGCTTGCTTAAAATAGAAAAGTCATGGACAGGATCCTAAAGTTGAAATCTATCAAAACGACTGAATTGCCTGAAATAGACATATGAAATAGTAACTAAAATGAAAAGACTTTAAGATGATAAATAAAATGGAAGTAAAGTTAGGTCAGATCTATTGAAATCTGTTTTCTGGTATCACAGATTATTCATAAGAAATTGAGGAAAGGGACAATGAGAAGTCGCAAAAGATAGTATAGTTAAATATAATGGAAATGGGAAAAAAGTGTTAAGACTGCTCCAAAATAAGGGTTGTTTTAAAGACTAACAAAATGCCTTTCTTAAATGAATATAAAATAAGAGGGCAATGAGAAACTATAATCAATAAAAAAGCATTTTCAATTTTAGGGATTATTGTAACCCAGTATAATGTTCTGACAAGTTGGAATTTGACCGTAATGGGCTTATTGGTGAACTTTTTAAAACATTTAAAGAATACAATGATATCTATGTACCATGAAAGACAATATGCTTTCAGTTGCATTTTGAGGCAAATATGACCTCAGTACTAAAAGTCAAGCATTTTAAAAAGGGTCTCATTCAGCCGGGCTCGGTGGCTCAGTCTGTAATCCTGCGCTTTGGGAGGCTGAGGTGAGTGGATTGCCTGAGTCCACAGGTTCGAGACCTCATCTCTACAATAAATCAAAAAATCAGCCGGGCGTGGTATAGCGCGTGTCTGTAATTCCAGCTACGCGGAAGGCTGAGGTGAAAGGATTGCCAGAGCCCAGCAGGTCAAGGCAGCGGTGGCTGGGAGCGGCCACTGCACTCCAGTCTGGGCGACAGAGTGAGACTCCAACTCAAAAAAAAAAAAAAAAGAAAAAGAAACATGCAAAAAAGGGTCTCATTCTCAACAGATATATAATGCAAAATAAAATGTTGGCAACAACGCAGCAAACAATACAAATATTTACTATCACTCAGGATTATAAAGCTGGTGTTCAACAGAACAAAATGGTGAAAATCCAAAGTATTAACTGCAGATTATGTTTTTAAAATTTATTATTCACCTTTGGTTCAATTATCTCTGGTAATGATTTCGGAGGTTTCTTGGAGTCTGATAGGTAATTACTTAAAACTGAGAACCAACATTTTTATTGGGAAAACATAAGAAACATTTCTCAAGCAGAAACAAAACAATGTTGGCACCGTTTTTATTTATGTTTGGTTGAAGAAACTTGTCATTGTAATAAAAACTATCATTCATAAAATGAGGAAGATAAGGAAAGAAAGCATCACAAACATTTTCTGTTAACATGGCTTTATGATTGGCTAAATCTATAGTGTCATATAAATGTACTAACAATGAAAGGGCTAATTCAGTAAGTTCACTACTTACCAACTGTATAGTCTTGTGATAATCACTCCTGGCTTCCATGTTACTGTCTGTAGAATAGAAATACTTCACAGAATTATTGTGAGACTTAATTAAATAATATATATGAAATCATGTCCAAAGGAATGTCAGTATGTGACATTAGTATGTAGATTCACTACAATTCCATTTAACATTCCAACTGCTTCTTTTATGTAAGTTGACAGAATTGCAATAGATTATTTAGGAAAGAAAAAAAGATGTAAAGTAGTTTAGGGGTTTTTTTTGTTTTTTTTTTGTTTTTTTTAGTTTTTATTTTTTTAAAGCAGAATTTATTGAGAGAGCAGAAAACTCCCACAGTTGTGGTGGGAGACCCCGAGGGGTTGCCTAGTTTTTTAATTTAGAGGAAAAAATGGGAGCCTTGCCCTTCAAATCCTTAAAACTTGCTATTAAGCAGCCTTTCTAAATATTCTGTGATGTTGAGTAGAAAATTTAACTAAAACTAATAAGCCCATTGGAAAGAAAGAAATATTAAATAATTGCTGGCGGAGAGACAAGCTGTCAGTATGGAAAAATGTATTAGGTCCACTTACATATGATGTTTTTCCAGATGAATTAAAGTGTTTAGTATAAAGTAAAAATAAAAAGACCACAATTCTCATGCCAGTAGTGGTACAGAGGAACTTCATCACAAGTGGCAAGGTAGATCAACTAAGAGAAAAATGAAAAACGTGTAGTAACAGAAAAATTTCTATTTGCATTACATGTGGATAAAGTGCTGAATATTTTTTTAAGTGTATGCATATATGTAAGGTTTTATACTCTCCTAGGCATATTTGTAAAGGAATAGTATACAAATGAGAGGATACAAATAAAAATTCTTACAATGGTATTCAAGTTTCCTAATATTAAGAATGCAAATTGAAGCAACTTTGACTTAGTTCATGCTATTAGCAGTTTTTTTTTTTTTAATTGCATATGCCCTCATACCAGTAGCATAGTAGTCTTTTTAAAGGACTATTTAGGAGACTGTAAAAAGAGCTTTATAAGTATACTATCTTTTGGCATACTAACTCACTTTGAGTAGCATATGCTCAGGAAAATATTTAAGAGAAGAAAAACTACTAGTACAATGTTTCTAGCATTTCATTCATATGAGTTTAAGGGGAAAAAAAGCCCAAATAATTGTGAAATGGATAAGTAAATTTTGGTGTATTGCAAGTACTGTCATAGATTGTTATATAGCAACTAAATAATATTGATATTTGTAAAATTGTATGCAGAAAATGTTTTAAGTGAGACTCAAAATTGTTAATTAGGACGTAAATGATTATGTTTACTTATATTTTTGTGTAAAAGCTTAGGTCTCACAGTGAAAAGAATCAGAAGACGACATATGTAATTAATTGCAGTTTAATGTTAGGGGTTCTTTATTTTTCTTCTGTAAAATACTGGTGTATGCAATAAAAAATAAAAGACTGAAAAAGAATTGTTGAGAAAATTGCTGATTTCTTAGACACATAAAATTCTTTTTTAGGTTAAAATTATATATTTATAGATGTTAAAGTCAAAATGATAATCTCCAAAAATGTGTAGCAGAAAGATTTACAAATCTTGGTGGAAAGGAATTCTTGGTCAAGATAGACTTTGTATCTTTTGTATCTTTTCTCAGTTGTCCAGCACTAAGGAATAATAGTAGAAATAGCAGTGCATTCCAGGACGTCAGCATGAAGACATTGCATACTAATTAAAGCATGACCCCAAATCCAAGAGCACACATGTTATTTGGGAGTCTTGGAGGCCAGGGAAATGAAGGTTGGACTCATAGAAGTAACCGAGCCTGGACCTGAGATGGGTTTGCCTGTGTGAGAACAGATCTCAGGGGAGTGAGAATGCCAGCAGATCTTCCCGTCAGCCTGAGATACCCAAAGCAGGGAGTTTTAGTAAAACAAACATCAGCTAGACACCTGCTGCTGGCTAGGAATTGGCATTTTTCTAGGGATTGGAAATACAAGCATGAATAAGACATGTTCCCTCTATCTGACAAACACTGTTGGAATGTTTACCTTAAGGAAAGGTACATTGTACCTTAATAAGCATTTAAGACGTTTTTTCTATACCACACTCCCCGCTATAACTACCCCTCTACCTCTCCCCTGGCAAAAAGTAACAACAACAAAAAATCTGTGTGTATGGCATTCCTTTTAAAGGGTGCCAAAACCTTTTATTACACAGTTGAAAAATGTGGCTTAAAGATTAAAAGCTGGATAATTTAACACGTTCTGAAATCTGTTTCCACTAACACTCGGTCAAGTTTCTGACATTAATCAGAAACTTGGTCTCATGCCTGAGGAAGAAGCCAAGAGAAGGTTCAGGAGATTGGGTCCAGAAGCTCAAGGCTTCTGGATTGAGAGTTTGGGGAGTAGAAAGTACAAAGAAATCAAGATGAAAGAAGCAGATCATAAAATGTCAAGTCCTATAAATTTTAAGATCAATTTTATTTAATCTTAGTGGTCAAGTGGAAGTCATGCTCCTGTTGCATTGAGGTAACTGCTTCCTCTGACGATTTTCAAATTTTTATTTTGGTATTTTGCTTTCATTATAAAGAGGCATTATTACCAATATAGTTATCTTCTTTTTTGCCAATGGCCAAATGTATTCACATTTCAAAAGCAAGGAACCCCGTGCCTCCAGCTTTCTGTAAGGTATGAACAGTACAGAAACAGTGATTCAACTGAAAGCATTTGACTATAACATGAATAGTGTGACGGCAGTTCTGCTACAGCATTTGTAGGAATGCTTGTCTCCTGACAACCACATTTTCTCGTGTGCTCCTCGGGACAACTAGGTAAGATAAGAAAGGGCAGGTATTTATACTCATAGGTAGGACCTGGAAGAATTAAGTGACTTGCCTGGACTCCCTCTTAGTAAGTACTCAGATCCCTTAGTAAGAATTGAAATGCTCCTGTTCCAGTTTGCCTCTCTCTCAAGAGTGATTTATTGCATGCAAGACTGAATGACACGTAAATCACTGTTTAAAACGTGGTGACCTCTAGAATTTTTGAATGCATTGGCTTTTCAACAAATAACAACAATCCTACAAATTAAAGTTTGTGTAATTAAAGTGAGCCCACTGGGATTGAAGGAGGAGGAAGTGATGATTTAAGCTCACTCTTAAAATCAAAGCTATGTCTTTATGCTGATATTTATGTCAAGAGTTTTATTTCCTTATATATGATATCTTTATTAGTTCCTGCTATTCCTATGCATTTGGCATTTGCAATTTGGTTGTTGCTCAATATACATTTAACCCTAATACATACTGTGAACAACTAATGTTAAAGGCATCCACATGAGAGGATTGACTTTGGATTCTGAGATTCAGGGTTGGCAAAGTGTATCAGGAAAATGAATACCTGTTTATAGTTCATTCAGAAAGAGATCTTCAGGCATTTTATAATTTTAATAAAATAGTCCTTGGAAACACTAGTGCAGTGGGTTTATGCCCACTTTTTATTATACATCATATAATAAAGCCCTCGAGTACTATTTATTTGAGGCTTTTATTTTATCTGTTATATGTGACAATAACAAATATTAGCAGTCCAGTATGGGGAAAGTGTTTTTATATTATAAGTTAATTTTACAATATTTTCAGTTTATAGTTAAAGTAAAAATTTCAGCATGTTTAAGACCCATTATAAAGAAGAAATTTGGGATGTACTGGCTGAGGAGGAGCCAGGAATCTTATATTTAGGCAACTAGTAACACAATTGTTAATTTCCTAAAATGATTAATGAAGTATTGTAGAGACAGACACGAGCTTTTGGCACCATTTTATGAAAGCATAACGTTATTCGAAATGCCCCCTACTGTTGAAATGGAAATTACAACTGGATGATGCTTATTAAAATAAGAGATGAGAACTGCGCTGGAAATAGTCTTGATTGTTAATCTTTAAAACAAAGACTGTGTGTGCTATACCCCTACATTCCCTACAGTTTCTTGCATATCATCGGCATGTAGAAAAGATTTGCTAATTGAAAGATTAGCTGGCAGTTCCGATGACTCGACTCTTCCATATCATCCTGGGCCTTTATCATCACCCTTTAAGTTCCAACCTAAGGACCACAAGGACCCACCTCTGGGGAAATGTGTCACAGTCATAGCCCTGGCTTCTTGTATTTTATTAGTACAGATAATTAGTTTTAGGATAAGCTTATATGCATCAGCAAAGCTACTTTAAAAGTACACATTTAAATAATCTAAATGA